TTAGGCGTTTTGTCCTCGTAAATGTTCGAGGTGCTGGCTGCACAAATTAATATTGTGGATTGTGGTGTGCGGTCCTCGGAGATCGGTCCTCGATGGACACTGAACCTGGCTGGCTTACTGGCTGGCTGGCTTACTGGCTGGCTGGCTTACTGGATGGAAAGGCTGGCGGAGGGGAACGCTGTCGGGGGCCAAACACACCGTAAACGAAGACAAAAGGACATCATCAGGCGGCCAAAACAGAACAATGGGCAAATTTGTCGTAAAGAAGCAGGCCCCAGAGAGAAAGTCCACGAAAGGATTTATGCAGCTGTAACCGTGTCTGGGTTAGGTCAAACCCATGATGATCCTCTTGCTCATTTTCATCATTATCACGGCACTGGGCATGATAATGACGATGATAATGATGGTGGTGCAACCTCAGCTTTATCGTTGGCATGCGTATGCTTGACCTGCAAGTTCACTGGACACGCATGCGCCCCGAAAAGCAGGCGAATCATTTGAAAGACCTGCACAGGAATGCCCAAGTCTGAAATGATGGTCGAAGAAAGTACCCAGCACTTCAAGGTTCATAAATAAATACTTAATGAGCCATTAACAATCCTCAAGTTATCTATTTTTTAAAAGGCATAAATATATAAATATAGAGAATATTTTCTATACGAAATTGATTTTTTACAGAATGTTTTATTACAAACTAGTTTTTTTTTAATTAAGTTGAATAAATTTAAATAATATTGAAAATAGAAAAAATAGTTATTCAAATAAACATTATTAGATTATTTTGTATTTAGTATGCACCCATCTTATTTTACTGTTTTTTGGCTACCAAAAAACATGAAATTTTTGAGCTATATTTAATTACATCATTAACCAACATTAGTTATCAGATACGACAATTAAAGATATTTAATTTAACCCTATCACTTATGACTAGCATAAATAAAACCATTTAGGTCCCAATAAAAAATGTTTTAAGCTATCATATCGATAATTAAGTCCACATTTATGTCCTACCAAGATCGTTAAACCCCTCAACACAATATACCCGAGAGCAAGTGGTCATCTGAAATCCGAAAAAAAAAAAAAACGAAACAGATACCAAAGACCGGATCAGGTCGTACCTTAATCGCAGCACTTTAATCGACACGCAAAGTTCGTTTAAGTTAAATAAACGTTTAAACGAGAACACGGCGCGCGAAGGGAATGGCAAGTCCAATGGCAGCAGGCAAGATTTAAGCCGGCAGAATGAGAATGGGAATGAGAATGAGAATGGGACTGGGAATGGGCCAGAAACAAGCGAACGGCATGCGCTACACGCAGAACTTGTCCGAGGACCAGATGAAACCCCAAGGAATCGCAAGAAGGGCCTCAAGTTGATTGCAAAAAAAAAAGTATACAAAAAGCGAGAAAAAAGGAAAAAAAAAACCAAACAGAATGCGTGCCCCGGCTGGGTGTGTACGAAATGTTTAAATTAAGGTGCATATCAAGTGCACCAGATCACTAATTACCAGCGCCAGCTACGTTCAGCTTTGGGCCAACAGGCATCCCTTTTGGCCAAATCCCCGATCTCGTGTGAGCGAAGCAAGCGCCCCCAGAGCTCTGAGTTTGTTTTTCCATTCGATCCGTTCGTCCACCTCGAATGAAAGAGGTTAAAGGTGGTGGCGGCCTAATCGAAATCAATAAAGATGAGCCTCCGATTGGCCATGTGCCATGTGATTTGGCCAACTCGAGCTCTGCGCTCTTCTCTGGCTGCATTAAGTGGGTTAATGTCTTGCTGGGTGGAAGAACAATGGAACTGTCCGTCATCCGATCGGATCTTGGGATAGCACCGAAAGTCCGATTAAAGTTACGGAGAGAGGGAGAGAGTTCATTGCTGGGGTCAAGTGGGAAGTGCGATATAACGCAGGTCATTAAATGCGTTTCTCCTTAAAATACAACACTCTTATTAACTGTAAAAAATATTGGCTAAAATTATATATATAGTATCTTAAGGGAAATATTACATTTTACTATATATAATAATAATATATAATATATTTAATGAAATACAAACGTAAGACTTGAAAGATACTTCCTCAATCCTCGACTCCTTGAAAGTTAATGATCCCTGCTCTTCAGTCCAGCTGCTGGCAGCTAAAGATATAAATACGATGCTGTATGTCATAGTTTGCTTTGACTATTTGTCAGTTGCGATTTGCGAGTATGGGAACACGCCCCTTACCCTCTAGAAAATCTTTTCAGTAATTAAGGCCGCTACCGGACGCAAAAGCAGTCGAGGCATTGACTCTGTTAAGATTGCTGACTTGCCTTTAACAAAATTATATGCAAATCTTTGCATAATTTCTCATTAGAAACATGTTTCCACTATAATGTGTCAATAATATTTGCCATTTTTTGTTGCCATATTGTTTCTTCAATTCCATTGTCAGCATCAAATGCAAATTGGGATTCGTTTTAAGCGCGATGCCACTCCACTCCGGCTGTAATTATTTAATTTAATAAACATGTTCGCGTATTATATATGTCTTGCATGCATTAATTTGAAAGCTATGACCGATGTAGCATTAGCATTGCGAACGATAATAAATAATGAAATGCGAATACTCGTTGAAAAAGGCATTTGCAGGTGCCTGTCTTGAACTATTTTTAAAGATGTGCTCAGACCGAGTCGCAGTTTAAAAGTCAGAGTCTTTGTCTGAATCTTCCCGAACTCTATTAGCAATGCATCTATCATAGATCACCGGACAACAACACACACACACACCACACATACACACACACACACTACGTGGGGTCAATAAAGCATCTTAAAAGTCCCCTTTGGCGCCAGGTAACTTGATACAGCCCGCTTGTCTGCGGACATTTTCCATTGGCGCCTGCATTTTGACAGTCAATAAAAATTTGAAATGTTATACTTTTGGTCCATTTTTATGCCGAATCGATTTTATTTCCCTCCGTTTGTCTCATTCTTCTCGTCTTTGTTGTCTAAATTGCTTTTTGATTGGAGAGATTGGGGCGATGAGACAAATGAACCACTTTTTCAGTTTGACAGCCAGGTGAACCTTAAAATACGAAACGAAAGACTTAAGCAACGAACTTGACGAATGATATCGATATAGCCTGAAATCGGGTCGAAAGTATTTTGATTCGGTTGTGGGCTTTCGGATTCTTGAGGGTGTATGCTTTAATCACATTTTTGGAGTGGGCCAAGCTTGTGCCATCAAGGTTATCTTAAGTCAAACAAAAGACTTAGGAAACGAACTTGGGCACCATACCTAGACTTAAAATTTGAAATCTTTTAAAGAGGTTAAACTTAGCTTAAGGATATTGTTGCATTTTTGTATAAATTGCAGTTTATAGTCTAATTTCTATATTTAATTTTAATATTCTTTGCAAAAATTAAACCTTCTAAATTTCAATAAAATTGTTTTTTTCTGATGCACATTTAGAACAGCTGATTATTGACATTTAGGCCGGCATCTTATTTTATTACCCGTCTGACAAAATTTGCATTTGTCATCTGCATTTTATTTGAAACCCACTTACGAGTGTATTGACTTTTACGGCCCGAGCTTATTGTATTTTATTTCGTGTGGCTCTTTTTACTATGACTCTTTAATAAACTATAAAAATAAATTTAGAAACAATGACGACAAAACACACGTCGGAATGCGATCGTCAGCGGCACAATGGCGTGCGCTGATCAACCCACCGCCCCTGCTCCCCATTTACCCCACATTTGGGCCCCATCATGCATATTGATGATATGCTGTTCGCTCATCTCTCCGATTCGATCCGATCCGATACGATACTACTATACGATCCACTTCGATCCAATCCCACCTGGATTGTTTATGGCCGTTGACGCCTCGCTGGTATTTCTCTTCTGTTTTTTTTTTGACACAACCAAAGTCGAGCATTGAGTTATTTTGCATCCAGGGAGGAGGAGTCGGGGATCCTGCATAGTTCTCGTGCCGTGGCCGACTGTCCCATTCATCATCGGGTGGATAAAGCAGTCAGTCAGCCAGTCAGTTAGCCAACCAACCAGTCAGTTAGCCGTCGGACCATAAACAAAGTTCGGAGCGATCGGCCGGCCAGCCATCCGCCTAATTAAGTGATTAAAATTCTGGCCATCAACGGGGCGTATGACTTTTGTATGTGTTAATATAAAGTTTATTATTTGAAGCAGCACGTGGTCGCCGCAGCACTGCCGGCCAGAATCGGCCGGAGATATCGAGTCGGCCCATATCGGAGGCATAGGCCTAATGCTCATGACCGCAGCATATAAAACAGGGAGCTCAGGGGGCCTAACATCGAATATCTGTGCGTAACATTTGTGGCATTTTTAATTTACTACACAACTATACAGCAATCGCGACTGCAATGGCCAGGCACATATAGAAAAAAATCACTTAACGGCTGCTATATCAGTTTTATTATCGGCCATCGGCCATCGCTCGATCGACTTGCAACCGAATGTTGATTGAATTTATGCCAAAGCATTTGTTTTCCGTCTCTTTTTGGTGTTGCCATTGACAGGCCACGCCCATTTGGCCCGTGGTTAACGAAAATCGAAAAGCCAAAGACACCGCCGATCGGAGAGATATATATATGTCCGAACAGAACTGATTCTGAAACAAGAGTGGTAGCTGAATACGTAAATAATTTATTGGCTTTGATCCTAGAGGAATGTGCGGTAGCCAAAGAACTTTGTTGACAGCTGGTAGATACATCCGAAAGATAGTTTCGACCGGGCATATAGTCCATAACAATGTGGTTAAGTGGGGAATAAAAACTAGAAGAGGTCGTTAACTTTTCAGTGGAAACTTTTTGAGGGATCTATTTAGAGTTCCATTTTATTCAGAGCAGATTTAGCTGAGATAAAATCGAGAAAATAAAAAATTAAAAAAATATTTCATTTAATTTTTTGCTTCCAACTATTTGATAAATAAAAATATCAAATTGAATCATCAAACCAATATATTTAAAACAAACTTGGATTAATTTTTAATAGTTTTTATTTTTGATTTTGTACATCTAAAAGCCAATCTTTAGACATAGAGTAACTAGGACTAACATAGAATAAAATACTTAGACACAATTAAGATCATGCTTAGACTTAACAATTTGTATGTACAATAGCGATTCGAGGGTGGGAATGATAACTCCTACTGCTAACTTTAAAATACGATTGCAAACAAGCTCGAAGAAATATTTACAATTTTTTAACGTTTTCATAAAAATAATTTTTGGATCTGAGCTCAATAGGTGAGTGTGTGTATGTGTGTATGTATTGGTGTGAGTGTGTGTTTTGTTTCCTAAGTGTGCGATTGCAACTACCTGGTCTAGCTGTCTCTTTCCAGCGAAACCTGTCTTTCTCTTTCCGTCTCTTTCACCTCCTAAAAGTGTGAGCGAGCACACGAACAAATTTACATATTTCTTTAAGTAACAAAAAAAAATAAACAACGATGGGGCGATGCGGCTCCACCCACTTGGTTTTTTTTCGAAGTGTACTTTAGACACACACGAAAATTCCTCGCATGGCACTTGCTGCATTATGGGCCACCGCGAAACCACCAAAGTGGGTGGCCTCCGCACCACCGCCCAACTTCTGCCGCTTGACTTCCGAGTGGCTGATGGTGGTGTTGGTGGGCGAGTGGTTGGAACTGCTCCGACTGCTGCTGGTGGTCAGGCACTCGGCCTCCAGCTGATAGAACTTACGACGGGGCGCCACCTCCAATTCCTGATCCTCGGATCCGCTGTCATTGAAGCTGTGCACCGAACTCCTCGAAGTCTTCATGCTAAGATCCATGGGTCCTTCTTGGGCATTGGCAGATGCAGTGGGAGGATTTGAAGTAGCCACACTGGTGGTCTCTCCACCAATCGAGCAAACGGAAACGGGCGAAAGGCTCTGCATCTTGGCGGCGAAGCTCAGGGGGGCTGCTGCTGGTGGGCGTGGCACGGATGGCGATGGGATGCAGCAGGCTGCCCGAGGATTGCTGGCTGTGCACCGACTGGACATCCTCCTCGCCGAGGCAGACATCGATGGGCGATTGGCGAGCGGAGGGAGTGGCAGGTGGTTGCACCACCACCGGCGTTTGGCTGGCGGGACTGAAGCGCTGCTGCGACTCCACGGAGTCCACACTTTGGCGGTGCTTGTACATCTCCTGGCGGTAGGCGGCGTCCGCGGCGGAAGCGGCTGCTGCAGCGGCACTGGCATGGTAGCCGGGGAAGAGGAGGTGCGGGGGCAGCTGGAAGGGCGACTGGTGCGGCGCCACGCCCCCCATCATGCTGAAGAAGGGCAGGGCGGCGGCGGGATCGGGCAGATAGCTGGGATAGCCCAGCAGCGGCATATGTGGATGGCGAGGCACCTGCTGCTGCTGCTGCTGTTGCTGCTGCTGCTGGTGATGGTGATGCAGATGGGCGGCCATGTCACCGAATCCGGGAGTGTGTGGGGAGCCAACGGGCGAGGAAGCGGAGGGAGCACCACCCATCGGCAGTCCACCCGCCGAGGAGGGAGCCTTGCCGGCTGCCACCGCGGCCTGTTCGTGCTCCTGCAGCAGGCAGTGGATCTTGAACCAGTTGGAGCGGCGTCCGTAGCGGGAGCCACCCTTCGACATGCCCACGTTGTAGCACTTCCGCAAGCGGCACGCCTTGCACGTGGTGCGGTTCTTCTTGTCGATGATGCACTTGCCCTCGTTCTTGCACTCGCTGATGGTGCTGATGTTGTTGTACGACCGGCCGAAGAATGACTGCAATTAAGATGAGAAATATATGGGTTAGTCAAATGGTTAAGAGGCAATAAAAGTTAATCCCAGGAAGGGCAGGAACCACTCCCATTCAAGAAACTTCAGGCAGCGAAAGAGAACTTCATTGAAAATATTTTAAATAACATAACAAATATATGTTGAATGTATCATTAAAATATTTTAATAAATAGAATTAATTTAATTGATTGAATTTTTTATTTTAAGTTGTTTCTTGAATGTTTCTCGGGCTCTAGGATTTCCCTTAACCCCTTGGGGCTTCAGGAATACCTATCCCCTTTTATTTCAAATATTTTTCTCAATGACTTCCGAGGACACAACTTACCTTGCAGCCCTCGCAGGTGAAGGCGCCAAAATGGAAGCCCGCCGCCGGCTCGCCGCACACTTTGCATGTCTGGTTCATCTGTAAGTCAGAATAGAAAATTCCCGATTAGTAAGGGTTTAATCCAGTGGTCGAGAGAGTTGTTTTTAATCCACAATGAGGCGACTGGCCCTGGACACTAACCAAGTTGAACACCATGTTGTCGGGATTTTGTTCGGAATACTGTTCGATTTTCTCACGATCGCTGTGAGGATGCTGCTGTGTGAATATGATCTGTTCGTTTCGAATGCTGCTGAGCAACTGATGCTGGGCTCTACGCTTCGCAGGATATTTATTGGAAACTGTGGAAAACTGCGGAGAAACTCGGCAGGATGGGCGTTTTTTATGATCACAACAGGCCAAAAACTTAAGCTGCCGGATTATGCAACCCTATGCGTTCATTTTCATTTTTTTCGCGCTGTCCAGTCATAAAACTCAGGTAGATTTTCTTTTTTATACGAAGTCATTACGAGTGCTGCGAAAATTGTCTTCCCTAAAAAAATGCAGCAGTCGTCCAGACCTTGACGTTCGGCCATAAAAACTCACGCCGATTTTTCCCCGAGTCAAAACAAAAAAATCAAAAAATTTTGGTTTATGAAAATTCTGCATTTTTTTCCCGAGCTCGAGATTGGCGAAAAAAAAAAAACAGGGAAAGATGGAAATGTGTGCGAGAGTTTTTCGCGAGAAACAGTAAAAAATCAAAGTAGTGCACAGGGTATCGTAAAATTCGCCGACGGCCGCGACCCAAAAACAAAAACCGTGAATTGACTTCGATCTCAGGTTGTCTCCCTCGCTCAGAACTTACCTTCTTGTTTTTTTTTTCCTTTCGGCTGGTCACTAAGTTTTATGACGACTTTTTAATTGCAGCGATTCGCGATCGTTGCTGCACGTTTTCTCACTTTGGCAGTGGTTCTTGTATCTTTTTTGGGGGGCTTTTCGCAAACACTTTCAGATTAGTTTCTGATTTCGGGTTTTTGACACTATGAATATGGGATTTGGATACGATTTGAAGATGTGATACTGGTGGACTCTGATCACCGACGCGTTTTTGGGAACTCTCGATGTGTGTAACTGACACTTCGGCTACTAGCTGACGACTGATTTCTGGCTGAGCGGTTCGACTGGCAAGAAGCGTTTCTGTGTTTCGCCTACTGGCCGAACTCTTTGGCTTATGTACTCGCCACTCACACAACGGAGCTGACTTACCAGTTTTCGGCCCCAGCTCTCTGATAAATCACGGCTAAAACCACCACCTTTGCCATCCGGATCGAGTGAGAGAGCGATCAAGCGCACGCACACATGCGCACCGCACTCGCAACTCCACTCGAGTGAAATGTTATCGAAATGTTAACGGAATGTTAACAGAATGTTAGCGAGTGAACAGCACTCACTCAATTCGGATTTCTCGAGTCTTTTGAAATCCAGCAATTTGCATTGCCCTGATATTATTCGTTATTCGGTTATTTATTAACGAAACTTAAGGAAGGGCGGCTGAATTTCTCACTCATTCGAATCACACACACAGACTCACCACCTCCAGCTATTGACTTCGTTTTTAACAGTGGCTCATTTTATTTGGCATGGGCGGAGCCATTTTCACCCGCTGGAAATCGAAATGGTTGGAGGTTTATTCGCTTTGGGGGCTTTGCAGCAAAGTCCGCCGGTTGTTGGATTAACCTCATGTTTTGAAGTGTAAAAACTATTATCACGCCCGATTAATTCCCACATACAACATGATTCATTCTTCCCCCACTTTACGGGCCAAACAGATAATTGAATATAATAAAATTGATCGTAAAAACGGTGTAAATCACAAGTTAACTATTATATCAGTAGCACTGATTCATAACCATTAAGTGTTAGGTAGGATTTTAATTTATTCTTTAAAACTTGAACAAAAACACCTTATAAAATGGTTTTCCCATGATGCGATAAGATTTATACAGAATTTATAATATATCACCCAGCATCTTACGCAATATTTACCATTAAAAATTAAAACACATTAAAAAAATATCATAAGTATAATCTATAATTAATTAATGACAACAGAACTCATCATTTTTCAAGATAATTTTTTTTATAAATTGTCATCTTTTTTATCATTGTATTTCCCAATAAAATATTAGTATCAAATTCAATTCCAACCCTTTCAAAAGTCAATTTCCACATTCATTTCCCCTTTGTCCAAACAATGAGCCTTATGGCGGCACTTAACTCTTTTTATGAATATTTATTGTTGTTTATTCCCAGCCAAAAGGAAGTTAGAGGCTACCTGTTTAACCCTTTTATGCCGCTAACCTATGTGCTTAACCCTTTTATGGATGTGCATTGTGTCGAAAGGGTTGTTCAACCAGAAGACAAGAACCTTGACTTTTCGACTGCGAAGTGTGGCCCGTATTATAAAATATAGTATTTCAAACGATATGCTAAACTATGTTTAAGGTACACTTTTATTTTTTTGGAAAGCAAACCTCGTTAGGATTCTTCCCAGAAGATTCCACATTTGACTTTCATTTGTTGCATCAGGCAGAGGGTTTCCGAGTAAAAACGCGGAAATCACACAAAAGGCTTGTAAAAAAGTCAAAAAGTAACTAGAACCATCCTTCGGTTCCTGCATACCCACCTTTTTTCTAATCGATTCATTTTTATGGCTCACCGTTTTTTCTCTATTTTCTCACACCATAAAAAAATGCGAGTCGCCGAAAATTCTTTTAAAAAATGCTGCTGAAGCGTTTTCGCGAATTTCCGCACAAGCCAAATGGGTAATATTTCCCGGGTAATTAGTTAGCCCGAAAGGAGAGGAAAAAAATGAGGACAATGTGACTTTAATCCGGTTTAATCCCCGGCTTAAGTTTTTTGCCGCCCGGCAACGCGTTCGCATCTTTGAGAAATAATAAAAAAGGAAAACCGAGCCGAGTGTCGCGTCCGCCGTCATAATTATGATCCTAGGATAATCTGCAGCTTAGGTAAGTTGATCCCGCGATTAGGTAACGAAATCGCTGGCTTAGGTACCCACAAGAATTGGCCTAAAAAACTCGGCCTGCCTAGGAACACGTCTACCGTCTTTTCGGGCCGTGTGCGTCATAAAGTCCGGCCGGTCGTAACCATAAAAAGTCGAGCAGCCGATGGCCATAACCCGAGCCAAAGCAGAGCAGCCAGTAACCACCCATCCACCCATTTATGCACCCGTCCACCACCCATCCACACTTTTTTAAGTGGAAAAGGGATAAAACGGTTGATTTTTGGCATATGTCTTCACCTTGGAAAATATATACGCGCCTGAACCAGAACCAGGACCTCATATAAAAAAAGTCAATTGCCGCTAGAGAGTTGCGTAAAAAAATGACAAAATGATTTTCAGGGAAATCACCACAAGGTCACCAGGTTCCAGGAGGCCTAAAAAACGGTCGTTTGGTAAAAAACACAATAAAAAAAAAGTAACGCAGGTTTTTTGCGCTGACTTTTTGACTTTTCAACTTTATTTTAATTGCCCAATGTCGTAAAAAATGGCAGAAGCTGTCGGAAATGCTGGCTACTAAATTGCGCCTAGGCAACCCCTTCGGTTCCGGCCATTTAACTATCCGGCTGGCTATCAGCTTGTCTCAGCCTCAAAATGTCAGAGAAGTCAAGAGCCGAGCGGCTCGTTCGCATTTACATATGTAGTTTTGATTGCATCATTTTGGCCAAATGACTGTATAACCAGCACATATCAATCAAATCGACCCCAGCGACTCGACTGCGGTTCGAACTTGTTCGCCGGATTCAGTTTTCGGACTCGTGTTCGCTCTCAAATGTAATTTGCATATTTTTGATTTAACAGCTCGGACTTAGCATTTTGTTTTGCCATCATTGTTATTGTAATTATGTGCGAGGAATTTGCATTTTCGATATCCTACACGACCGAGCTGGTCTTTCTGGCCTGGTCCACAAAGATAAGACCGAGATTGAGACGAATTCTGCTAAATATTTTATGGGCAACATTACAATTAGTAAATTAATGGCTTACGGTCCACAGATTTAGGCATAATACCTCAGATAAACCAATGAATCACATCACGTTGGATAACAACGGCATCGAGCCCTGAACCGAGATGTGTTCATTATCTCCGATGACTGTTCAGGTTTCATTATATAGTAAAAATAGCTTTGATGACCGTCGACGGACGGCGGCAGGAGAATCTCAACTTTTCGTTATATAAATTGAAGGCGGAACATATTTATCGTTCACAACTGATTTTCCATCTTACTTGGGTGTAAATTAAGAATTGTTCGGCCTAAGCACTATTATTATCTAGACTTGTTTGGAATGCGCTGGGTTTTCATTGTGGGTTTTATCAAGTGGAATTCAAGGGCGATGTTTGAAATTCCTTTTTGCAGAACACCTTTAGTTTGACATTTTTAACATTTATAGTTCAGATACTATAAAAATACTATACATAATATACACTGAATTTGAATAGTAACTCAAAACACCTATTATTTTATTAATCCACTGAGTAAGTTTTACCAAAAACTTTATTTCTCGCTATTAAATTAGTTTTAAATATGCATATAAATTAATACTTGTCTTAAAGGTTATAAAATATTTAAAATTATTAATGTTCATGCTTAAAATATATTTGTAATTTTTTAATTTAATCACACATATTGTTTATAAATCATTACAGGTCATCAAATCTTTCTCCTTAGCCAACCCATCACATCTCCAACTTTAGCACTATATATATATTAGATTTACTTTTTGCGCACATTTGCGAAAAATTCGAAATTCAGCTGGGGGATTAGGAAAAGTCAATAAAACTTGTTTGGCCAATTTCTCATGGCGTCTGCAAGTTCTCGATCCGCGTGATATGTGGTTGGTTCGGTTTCGCCTGACAAATGTCTTGTGTTTAATTGTGTTTCGGTAATGTCTTCATTACGCTTTCGTTGTTCCTCTCACCTAAAACTCGTTTCGATGGCTTAGCGGGCTTTGTATTTGATATATGGCCAGCGTTTATTGATTCTCTCGGCGGGAATTCTGGCTCGGAGTGGCTTATCACTGGATCGGACAATTGATATTGTATTGGAATTATGAAATTATGCAAATTCCGAATTATGATTATTGATGGCAGCACGAAACGCGAACAATGCAAGCGCGAAGGGGTTGAAATGGCTCCTAAGACTTTTGGCAAATATGATATTTATAATCGAGTGTGACAGCATAAATAATAATTACGCTACAATTATGACAGAAGGTTCAGAATGACACTCACTATGCAAAGGAATTCAGGATAGTTTTGATTTAAGCCTTTGGCCAAATCTGCGAGTTTTCCGTTGGAGTTTCCCCGAGTTTCGAGTTTCCGCTGCTGTCTGGCTTGGACCAACGCCAAACTTCCCACGGATCACAGTCCGAAGATCGGAGATCGCTAACGATATGTTAATGTAAACCGAAGTACCCACATGTTTGAGATTAAACTCTGCTCTCGGACTGGGCAAAACCGCCTAGCGGAAGTCGTAGTTGCGGTTTGGCAATCGAATTTCCAGCCAGGCGGGAAATGCGGCGAATTTCCCAAAGCGTTTCGCGGTTTTTCACACCGTACTGGTGTGCTGTGCTCTCCGTGGTCGGCTGATCTCAATTAAATCCGCCTAACCGACGACTCGGGACTTGTTTTTGATCGCATCCTGGCTTTGGAATTTTCACAGATTGCACAAGTCGGTGGGATGGGAATGGGACCTCGCAGGACCTCGTCGTCCACTGACTGCCTGGCAAAACACGGACCCGCAAATCCCGCTCTAATGCTCGATAATCTATCTAATCCGCAAGCAAGTTAAGCTAACTGGGAAAAAACGCCGTCAATGGACAGTCTGCCCGGGAATTCCCCGTCTTCACTGAGCATCTTTATCTCGAGCTAAAGGTTCTACGCGATCGCTCTTACTACGAAGCGAGATTAGCCAACATGACTTTGGTTATACCCAGGTTGGTCTATAAGATCATAATTATCATGGCAAAATATAATCATACACTTCTTGCGAATGGTTGCTGTCCGAAAAGCAATTATGTAACCTCAACCAGGAAAACAAACATCTCATATAATATGAAAGTATTTCAAACCATTCTTCAAAATATTTACAGATTTATTTATGCAAACACATTTGAATAA